GAATGCTGCAAGAAGCTGACAAGTTTAAGCTTCCTAAAAACAGGGAGACAGGGAGAGTCTCTCAGTTTGTACTTCCCACAGTGCATTAAGACTTGTCAGATGTTGATTTAAAATGTAGTGGTGGATGGTCTTGCTCCTAGGTGTCCGCACTGCCCACAGAGCGATGTTTTTTTTGGGGGGGGAAATGGTTACCTGATGAGATACAGGTCTTGTTACAGGGCAACCCAATATAAAACGGGTTGCCTGACTGTGGGTCCTCACCTGTGCGCTTCAAAGGAACTTAGTAATACTCCACTACAGGCACACACAAAAGGTTAATAAAAGGTTTATTTACAACGGAAGGGGAAATAAGGAAATGTAGAACTCAGGATGAAAAGAGGGAGATAAAGTCTTAATGCGTCCTACCTGATCCGCAGACCTGGAAACCCAATGGAAACCCAATGGCACGCTGAGAGTTGGCCCGGAGCCAAGAGCCCTGAAGCCAAGAGAGCATCCCAAGGCCCACGCGTCTGGTTTTTATACCAACCCTGGCTGCTTAACTCCACCCTCGGGTCCCAGCAACCTTCCCTTTGGTGATGATGGGATTTGTCTTTCCCAGTGTCCTGATGGCTTTGGTCTGGGGTGGGGGTGGAGTCCACAAAGCCTGCATGGAATTAGCTCGGGACATCCTTTCCCCCTAACAGTCTGAGCTTTAAAGTAAAGGAGTGTAATTCGTATTGGTGACTTATTAAGTAACACTGGTGGTGGAGTCTTTGCAGGGTAGAGTATGAGATTTGGCACCAGAATATCTGAACGTGACCAAGACCCTTAGGGCCTTATAGTCATTTTACCCTTCTGGATCTCAACCCCTGCATCTGTGAAATGAAAATTGGATTAGTATCTGCCAGGGAAGCAATATATAAGATCAAAAACCAGTAAATGAGGAATAATAGTACTAGTGTAGTGTTTTAAATGACTGCAATAATTACCAGAAGAAATTATTTAAAGAATTGAAAATAGTTGCTCATGGAGAGTAGGGCTGAGGGGTAGGAAGGACTGAGTCAGTTCTGTTTTCATGAGTCTTATAATGATGTATTGCTGAGCTATTGCCAGGTGAGGAAACTACAGTGACCTGCTTCAGTTTCAGGCACAAGTTGGCTGGGGCAGCTTATTCCGAATTTGTCCCTTCTGAAATTCAGGTTGTGGGGGGTGGGTAGCAGCAACTCCCCTGGGGGAAAGCTCTTCCCTGGGATTGCAAAAGCACCAGAGGGCAAGTGCAATCCTCAGGTCAGTGCTTTTCAAGGCTTTGATTGGTTCAAGATCTTGTCTTTAATATCCCACTAGCCCAAGCCCTGACAAAACCCAAGTCAGGGCTGGGAGTGCCCTCCACTCCTGCTGGAGGATGGGGAAAGAGTCATTCTGAAAAACAATCTAATCTACCATAATAATTGAGTTTTTAAAACTGCATGCAATGTACTCCTTTGATAAAACTAATGCTGACCCGGGCCTCCCCTGGTGGCACAGCGGTTGAGCGCTGGGCTGCGAGGCTGCCCGCAGCCTCTGCAGCAGCGGTTCGTTCCCCGGCTGCTGGCCAGGGTCCCACAAAAAAAAAATAAATAAACAAGCAAATAAATAAATAAATAAAATCTGCCAATCCTGCTAGTCTTTAAAAAAACAAAACAAACAAACAAAAAAAACCTAATGCTGACCCAGATCCATTTCAGATGGCTATGGTGATACAGATGTCTCGGGTATGTCAATTCAGGTTCTCTCTCCCCCCTCTCCCCCCCCACCTCTCTCTCTCTTTCTCTTCCTCTCTTTCTCTCACACACCCACCCACACACTCACACAGCTGAACCATATGACTTGGCATTTTTAGTCTGTCCAGCATGGCTATCTCCTCACAAGTTTACTGTGGGGACAGGCACAAAACAGCCTGTCTCCTTGTGGTTTTCCTTCCATCTTCCTAAGTCCTTCTGTTATAGGACAGGGAGAGGGTCAGCCCAAACCCCGCAAACCTGCCTATTCTACATGGGTTCTGCCATCCGCCGCATCAACACAAAACATAGGAGACTTTAATGGGAAGGAACTTTAATTAAACTAAGAAACAATATAGGTAAGGCAAAGAGTCTAGTTTCTAAATGAAGCATCCAGAGTTACCCGTCCCCTCGGGGGTAAAAGTCCATCCATATGGGATCGGCCCAGAACAAGGCCCCAAGGCCTGCTACAAGTCTAAAGCATCTTCCAGTGGGGACCCACAGAAAAGGGTCAGGAACAACCAGACAAGCCCGGAAGGAAAAGAGCAAAATCAACATCAAGATAAAAGCTGCCATGGTCACCTCCCCACGGGTCTCACCCACATCTGTGTCACCCCGTCCACGACCAAAAGACAAGCACAGTTTCTTCACGTGTCTCTAGGCTCCACGCGCCTCCTCCAGGTCTCCTGGCTCCATCCTGCTTCCTTCCTTCCTCAGTCTCTTCTGCAGCTTCTCCTCTTCCTGCTCAGCTCCACCCTCCCTTGGGTGGGGCAGGGAACCTCCCCCTTTCCTGGGACCACCCTGTTACACTTCCTTGGTTCTTGAAGCACAGGTCTGCCCACTTGCCTCCTCACCCTGCCTTTATCTCCTATTTCCCATTCTCCTTTAAAGCTGAAAAGAGGTGGCTTTTGCCTGCTTCCTTCACAAATAGCCAAAGTTGAAGTCGTTCCAGAACTCCCAAATGCTTTTTTCTTTTTTTTTTTTTTTAAGATTTATTTATTTATACAAGCATTGGGTACAGCCAGAAGCACGGGAGGGTGAGAGAATTCACCAGAGCCAGAGCGGGGAGCAGAGCAGGCAGAAGGACCGAAGTACACTGCTGAGGGGAGCAGTGGGCGCCATGTGGGACCCTCCTCCGGTGGCTGGGGAGCAGCCAGGGATCGAACCGGCGCTACGGAGGCTGCGGGCAGCTTCGCAACCTAGCGCTCAACCGCTGCGCCACTGGAGAGGCCCAAATGCTTTTTTCTTAAAATGCAAAATGATTAAAAGACTTAAAACGCTTGCTTTTGGGGTGCTGCACAAATGAATTTAGTTATAATATAAAGAATTAAATAAAGACCACTATCACCACCATAAGAATCACCTGAGATAGATGGAAGCATCTGTAAACCCACAAAGTAACATGGTATTTCTGGAAAATAAACACGTTTTCAGTATTTAAATGGAAACTTTAATAAAACACTGATGTATTTAAATACTGTCTGGGGCCTCCCTGGTGGCACAAGGGGTTAAGCACCGTACTATGAAGCAAAAACGCAGCCTCTGCAGCATGAGTTCAATTCTCAGCCAGCCAGAGAGAAACCCACATTGCGAAGCAGACCTCTCCTGTTTCACACACTGCTCCCCTCAGCAGTATATTTCAATCAGTCTGCCTGTTCTGTTCCCCACTCTGTCTCTGGTGAATCCTCTCACCACGCCCTCCCCCCCCCCACCCCGCTTCTCTGGCCTGTACCCCAGCTCTTGTATGCATAAATAAATAAATCTTAAAAAAAAAATACTGTCTGATCTTATGTATTACTTGTGAGTCTGTTAAGTGATCCAACTTGTACGGAGTTGCTCTATTTCTCACTTCTGGGAATTGAGGTCTGGCAAGGTAAGTTATTCAGCGCAGTGCTATTCATACAAAACAGGATTGGAAAGAACCTAAGTGTTATCAGTAGGACACCAGTAAGGAAACCAAAGAAACGACGAAACACCCACAAAAGTATACTATCTGGGGAAAAAGGAGGAAGTTCTTCCTAATAGGGAAGAACTTCAAAATATTCCCGTAGGTGGTGGCAGCAGAAGGCGATGTGTAGAGCAGCTTTCTTTCATGAGAAAGAAAATAATACACCCTTGTGTTTGCTTGTTCTTGCATAAGTGCAGGGAGGAGACCCAAGAAACTCAGATCCTTGCCACCTGGAGGGAGTGGGGACGGCAATGGACGGGACAGGATGGGCGCCCCCTGTTCAATGCAACCCTTGCCGTCTTCGTTTTTGAAGCTGGTAGAAATAGTGGCATTTAAAAACTTTACAAAATCAAACTTGAGATTATATGTCAAGAATTAGTTCTTACATCTGGGTGCTCTGCACCGCTCTAATCTTGTGCGTGCAGCAGCGACGTTGGGATCTTTAGAGAAACTACTTCGCACAGGGTCGGGTGGCCGAGCGTGGGGAGGAGAGGCCGGGAAGACCTCGAGGTGCTCCTAGCAAACCGACGGGGGCGCGGGAAGGCGCCCCAGGAAAGAGAACCCCGCAGACAGCGCGGGTGTGAAGGACTCGAGTTCGCGGTCACGCGTGCATCACACGCAGCGCGCCCATGGGCCGTGCACTGGGGCGGGAAGCCTCGCAAGAATAATGCGTGGTCACCGGATTCTCGCGGAGCCGGGCGTCCCAGCCCGCACACCGTCGACACGGAAACACGGGCCGTCCTGCGCCGCTTGTCTGACGTGAGCTCAGCCGGAAGTGACGCAAAGAGATGACGCAAGCATTGTGCGTCTGCGCCGTACAGGAGACGAGAAACCGGCGGCGCGCGTCTGCGCAGTACGAGATTGAAGAGCCGGGCAAGACGGCGCGCATGTGCGCAGAGCGAGACTGAGGACGCGCTTAGGCGGCCGCGTCTGCGCAGTGCGGGCCGCAGGGACCGGCCGGCAGTGCGCGTGCGTGCTCGGGAGCGTCCCCGTTAGTCGTACCGCGCGACTGCTGCTGAGCCGCGCGCGCTCGGCCGCGCGCCGCGTCCGGGGACGAGAGGCTCAGGTCGGGCTCGGGGGAGCACGGCGCCTGCGCGAGCGGGGCTGGGAGAGGGGCGCGGGCTGGCCCCGCCCCCGCCGCGTGGGGGGCGCGCGTGTGCGGCCGCGGAGTCGCGAGCGGGCGCCCTCCCTCTGGGGGGTCGGGGCCCGCGCTCGGCGGCGGCGTTCGGTAACCCCGCCGCGCGGCGCGAGCGCCGGCCCGAGAGCAGGCCCGGCCGGCCCCGCCTCCAGCCGCCGGCGAGGGCCCGGTGCCCGCGGGGCGCGGTGGCCTCGGCGGGGATTCCCGCCCGTCGGCACCCGTCACTCCAGCGTTTAACACCGGTGACCCCCGGGTTTTTAGCGCAGTTATTGGAACTTGAAAAAAATCCCCACTAAAACTCTCACGGGCTCATAGCTGGAGAGTGTGGATTTCATGTTTAGTCCGTAAAGGTCAGTCATTCCTCTTCAGAAGAGGGTTTTTCTTTCTCTAGCCCGGGGTGCGGCGGGCGCGGCCCGGGGCTGGCGTCTCAGTCATCAGACGCCGTTTTCCCCTGTTACGGGAAAGGGCTTTTCAGACCCACACTGGTTAGCAACTTCGGGTGCTTTCCGCTCAGCTGCAGCCGTGAAATTCTCCGTAAAACCAGAGTTGAGAGGCTGCTTTCCCGTCGGGCGTGTTGGCAGCGCGTCCGCGGACACCCTTAGTTGCTCAGCTTGAAAATGTTTCTAAAAATGGACTATTCCTCGAGGGCAGTGAAAGTCTTTTGAATGTCATTTTTTTTTCTTTCCTTTTTTAAGTCTTTAAAAAAGACGACATAATGGCTTCCAAAAGAGCGCTGGTTATCCTGGCGAAAGGCGCGGAGGAGATGGAGACGGTCATCCCGGTGGATGTCATGAGAAGGGCTGGAGTAAGTCCCCGCCGCTTTCCAGCCCGACCCCCGTGAAACGTTTTCTTGGCGCTTTGAAAGCCATTTTGCATAATGTTCAGCGTACTTTGTGCACAGAATACTCCCTAAGAGACTCTGAAACGCCAGTCAGCCGTTTCCCGCCCATATTTAATCTTCGTTACTATTTTGCCGTATTTCTTAGAGACCCGTTTCTTGAACAGATGCTTTTAAGAAGTAATGCAGCAAAGCATTATCAAGCCCCCTTTGTAGGTCTCCCCCACACTGTTCCCGGTGCTGCCTGCTCAGCGATAAGGGCTCTCCTCACGCCGGTGTGTATCTGTGATCCCAGGGGTTCTTGTAGGCAGCGTCAGGCTACAACTCGTTTTGCTTATATGTGTTACAGATCTTCATTTTTTCCATTAATTTTTGCATAGAAGAATTGGGTGTCGGCCAGAGGTGTGGGAGTGAGGAGTCCCCAGAGACACAGTGGGGAAAAGAACAGGCGGATCTACTGAAATACCCTGCTGAGGGGAGCAGCAGGTGAGACAGGAGAGGTCTGCTGTGCCCTGTGGGTCAGCTCCCTGGCCGGGGATCGAACTCAGGCCATAGTAGTGATAGCACTGAGACTCAACCCGTAGGCCACCAGGAAGGCCCTGGTACAGCTTTTTACAAGTTGGCCTGCAGCACGTGTAATATATTGAACACTGAATAGCACTTACTGGGAGCTGTTTAAAGGTGATAGTTCAATTACTGATACAAACTTGTTTAAAACTTAAAACTACCCTGGGCCTCCCTGGTTAAGACACAACCTATGAAGCTGTCTGCAGCTTCTGCAGCACGAGTTCAATCCCCGGCCAGCCAGGGAGCAGCCCACATGGCACGGCAGACCTCTCCTGTCTTGCCTGCTGCTCCCCTCAGCAATGTGTTTCAGCAGTCAGTCTGTTCTGTTCCCCAATCTGTCTCTGGTGAATCCTCTCACCCCTCCCACACCTCTGGCCTGTACCCCAGTTCTTGTATGCATGAATAAATGAATCTTTAAACAAAAAACTTACAACAACCCTATGAGTTAGCCACTGGCACCCTCATTTTGTACAGACACCAAATAATGTGCCCACCCTGTAGAGTTAGTGAGTGGCAGGGCACTCAGACCTGCGCGTCTGGCTCTCATCTGTTAACCCTGCACTTCTCTGGTCCTCTGCACACGTGTTGTGTGCTTAAAATTGCCACCTGGTATCACACTGTGCAAATATACCACCACTCCCTCTTGTGGTGCGTGACCTGCAGTATCGTGCCAGTTGCCTTGTGCCAATATGGGGGAGTTTTTCCAGGATCTCTACCTAAAAGTGGACTTGTTCGGCCAAAGTACAGACCTGGTAGTTGGTGCTACCAGGCGTCATCAAACAGCTCTCCAGAGTTCCAGTGGGTTTCCCGCCAGTGGGGTAGGAAAGGAACATTATTTCCTGTACTAACTGTTGATATTGTTCACTTTGTAAATTTTTGCAAGGTAAAGTAGTATTTCGCTGCTTTAACTTAAGAAAACACCATGAGTTTAAATGTCAATAGGAACTTTGCGAGATGGTTTATTAATAGGATGATCATATAATTTACCACCCAAACCTCAACACTTGGGAAAAGGACACCAGCCAGATAAGAGTGCCAGGACAGCGTCTGCCCCGGACAAACCAGGACAGACCTAGTTGTTAGATATATTTAGCCAGGTTCTCAAGTCAGTATGGTTTTGCAGTGTTTCCTGTCAAGTTATTTCAAAACACAGGGCAGCTGTGAAAATGTTTCTCTAAATTTATGTTTCGGTGTTCTTAAATACCGTGATGGCCTTCTCCTCTTAGATTAAGGTTACCGTTGCGGGACTGTCTGGAAAGGACCCGGTGCAGTGTAGCCGCGATGTGGTCATTTGTCCTGATGCCAGCCTGGAAGATGCCAGAAAACAGGTTCGTTGTCCATGCTTGGAGTTGTTCCTGCCCATGGTTTCTGTATCAGTTTCTCCACACATCTTCCGGCTGCATCTAAGCTGTGTCAGCACAGACTGACTGACTTTAAGAAAGTGCCTTTGTTAGGATCTCTTCCCACTGAAGTAGCCCCAGGGAAGCAGAGGCTTTGCCGCTCCACCCTGTGTGACGTGGAGCTTGGCGGCTGATACCATGTGTGCTCAGTAAGTGGCTGCCTGGAGGGGGCACTGGCCTTCGGGCCTGCCCAGGCAGCCTGGTCTCCCACCACGTATGGGCGGTATGTATGCACCTGCACCTGCACACTTAGACACGCGTGTTCTTTTTATAAGGGTGAGCTCGGCTGAGCCTGCAGTTCATGTCACCACAGGTGCATTTCCCGCACTTTTTGCTACTTAGGACAAGATACACCCTCATTGTTAGTGACTCTTTACGAACAGTTACTGACTCCTCACGAATAGTTTCTTGTGGAGTTGCTTGTGTACATCCAGTACTGGGCTGTCACTGCAAAGCACATTTCGGATGAAATGTTTTCACTTTACTGTTATATTTTTTTAACTGTTACAGGGACCTTATGATGTGGTGGTTCTGCCTGGAGGTAACTTGGGCGCACAGAATTTATGTGAGGTAAAGACTCCACAGAGAAGGGATTTCACCTTTGTGTTTTATTTTGTTACTCATATACTTCAGGGAGGAGGCTGTGAATGAAATAAGAACAAGAAATAAGAGCAGGTGAAGTTGGGCCTCCCTGGTGGCTCAGGCAGTTGAGCACAGCGCTGTGAAGCTGTCCGCAGCCTCTGCAGTGCCAGTTCGATCCCTGCCGGCCTTGGAGCAACCCACATGGCAAGCAGACCTCTCCTGTCTCGCCTGCTGCTCCCCTCAGCAGTGTATTTCGTCAGTCTGCCTGTTCTGTTCCCCGCTCTGTCTCTGGTGAATCCTCTTACCCTCCCATGCATCTGGCCTGTACCCCGGCTCTTGTATAAATAAAATAAATTTTTAAATAAAAAAAGAGCAGGTGAAGTTAATGAGGTGCTCAGCATGTGGTTTATAAACGTAGTTTACATCTCGTGCTAGAAAGTGTTTATTGTTTGTGGGGGCTTTTTTTAACATAGAAGAACTGGGGTGCAGGCCAGAGGTGCAGGGGGGTGAGAGGATTCCCCAGAGACAGTGGGGAGCAGAACAGGTGGATTCACTAAAATACACCGCTGAGGGGAGCAGCAGCGAGACAAGAGAGGTCTGCTGTGCCCTTTGGATCAGCTCCCTGGCTGGGGATCGAATGCAGGCCGCAGCCGTGATAGCACTGAGACTTGAAACCCTAGGCCACCAGGGAGGCCCTAGAAAGTAATTCCAGAATCATAAGTATATTTTAAGCAAGGACCTCTTGCTTTTCTCATTAAAAAAAACCTTTTAACTATGGGTGTAAGCTGAGTTGGTGAGACAATTACTAATGAACAGATTGGGTGAATCTAGTCTGAATGTAAGATGAGTTATATTCCCTCTTGGCAGCAACAGTATAATCTAATTTTGTTTTGTGAAGTGTTAATGTAGGAAAATAAGAGATTGTCTCTTCAACAGTCAGGGTGGGTTGCAGGCAACTTGGGCTGCCACCTCGAATGGAAAATGGCTCCAGAAGCAACCACTGCTTTTCATTGGAAGTGTTAGGTGAGGAGCCAGTGCAGGAGGAGGGAGGCAGGAGAGGGCGGGCAAACAGAAGCTGGACAGCCGGTCGAATCAGATTTTGGACAGTTTCCCTCTGGACTCTGTTCCCCAGCTGCCGGGTGCAAACACCACAGTCCGTGCCCCTCTGTTTCTCCCTGGGGTTCAGGTGGCAAGGGTCGGTGCCCCCAAGGGAGACGGCGTCTCTCGCCTCATCTTTCACCCGCCCTAGGGAAAGGAGGCCTTTGCCTTAGAACAGAAGCCTTGCCTGGGTTTAAGGACGTCGAATCATTCTGAATTCCCCGGTCTTCATACTGATAATGTATAAGTCCTGTTGAAAGGTGGGGTGGGAGCCTGGGTGCAGTGAAAATCACATCCTGCCCAGGTTCCTTGCCTGAGGCTGGCCTGCGGCTTGGCGAGAGCTTGACATGTGTTGTTTTCCTCGCTAGTCGGCCGTGGTGAAGGAGATCCTGAAGGAGCAGGAGAGCAGGAAGGGCCTCATCGCTGCCATCTGCGCAGGTAACTCCCTCACCGTGTCCAGCGTGCGCTGGGGTTTTCTTCAGAAGGCTTGTGATGGAGGCTCTCTGGCTTCCACGTTTTCTTCCAGAGACACTTCCCTGCTTACGGTGTGGAGGGCGTCTGTGTCGCGTATTTAGTTGCGTGGCATGAAGTTGGCGTCATTTCAGAAAAGAGGACATGGTGCTGTTTCCCGCCCTCTCTGCCTTTGCGTTCTGCGGACAGCGTGTGTCCCACGTGTGGTTGGCCTCGGAGGGAACAGGGCCCTCTGGGAGTCAGCACACAGCGCGTTACAGTGGGTCTTGGTGCCGGAAAGTGCTCCTGCCTGCGCGCCACCCGCAGGCCTCAGCAGATGGACGTGATGCTCTCGCCAGTGACCGCCTGCAGCTGCGAGGCCCAGGGAGCCCACTGAGCCTGGCGGGGGGCACTCGGTCGTGGGGACTGTGGCTCCTCTGCGGAATTCAGAACAGGGCGCTCTCCTGAGGCCCTGTGTCTTTGAAGCCTAGAGGGTGTCGCTCCTGATACCATTTTTAAGCCGTTCCTGCTCTGCTGGCAGGTGCTGCTCTGCCCGCTTGCGTTTTTTCCAGTTTGACGTGGGCCAGCGTGGGCCTTGCTGTAGTCTTTAGTGAATGTCGACAGAGTGACGGGTGGATGGAGGGCTTGGTGAGATGCCACGTTGCTGTTTTGTTCGGGACAGTAGGCTTTTTAAGGAGCAGCAGCTGGAGCCCTGGGGACCCTGCTTAGGACAGTGCTTATCAGGGCTCTCTGGAGGGGTCGCTGGGTCAGACTGTGTTTGCCTTTTTCATTCTCGTCCTTACAGGAGCAGCCTCGGTGGTGAGGCGGTCGCCTGAGCCTGGCATGCTCCTATAGTCTCATGCTCTGCGTGTTTCCCAGTTTGAACCACATAACCCGTGTGACCCACATAAAAACTGAAGGGGGCCTGCGGATGGGGGAGGACGCAGAGGCCACCACAGGGGCAGGCCCGACCTTGGGTGGCAGTTAGCACCGGCCCCTCAACCTGCCCTAGGCAGGGGCCTGTCCCTGCCTGGGGCATTGTGGCCTGAGCAACAGCCCTGTGGGGAAGCCCTGGGACCTGTTGGGGTGTCTTAAGGATGTGGGCTGCGTTCCCTTCTGGTGCTGAAAGCAACACCCTGTTGTCACCCTGTGTCTCTGAGGTTGTGTGTTGCTGGCCTCTTCTGTTCTGTGCTCGGGCCACTTGTCGAGGGCTTCAGCCTTCTCATCCAGGCAGCGTAGGCCGAGCACGCTGCCAAGGGTCCTGCCCCGATCGGGGCTCTGCAGGAGCAGCATGGCCTGACCGACGTGGCTTGTAACGGATGTGAGATGAGAGTCACGGCAACAGAACGGGCAGAGGCCTGAGAGGCCCGGTGTTCCAGATCAGATGGAACACGGATGATCCCTGACTGCTGCAGTTAGGAGCTGGGAGCTGTCTGCTGTCCTGAGAGAACGTTGTCTGGCTCCCGTGTGGGGTGACGGAGATGAGAGACAGAAGCTGAAGGGAAACCCCCTTGAGAAGAAAATGAAATGAGATTCACTTCGATGGTGGGGGAGCCCGGAGGCTGAATGGTGGGGTGCTCTGGCCTAGGGATGAAGTAGCCCGGGCCCTGGAGGTGGGGGCTGGCCTGCTGTGCTCTCTGTAAGTGGCCACACGGTGGCACTGTTGACTCTGTCCTTAGGCTGCCCGGGAGCCTGCCCATGGCGCCCTCTGCTCCCTGCTGCCGACTCAGCAGCATTTCCTCCATCAGGATTTCAAGTAATAGGGGTCGTTCCATAGCGCCTCTAATTTTCCAGATAGGATCCCGAAGCCGCCGAGAGCATTTATGAGTTTCCCATGCTAAGTCAGATGCCGGTGAATTCCTGCTGCCCACTGTCTCTTCGGCTTATCAAGGCCGCCGTAGGCAGCAGTTTCATCGCTGAAGGGCACAGGCTAAGAATTCCTGTGTCGTCATTCACTGCATGATCGTCTCTTAAGGTTTGCTTTCAAATGCAACGGAGATTGTTACTTCTTACTTTTTACAGTTTTACAAAATGAGGATTAAAGATAATTGATCAGGGCCTCCCTGGTGAGGCAGGGGGTTAAGACACAACCTGTGAAGCTGTCCGCAGCCACTGCAGCACGAGTTCCATCCCCGGCCAGGGAGCAGCCCACATGGCGCAGCAGACCTCTCCTGTCTCCCCACTGCTCCCCTCAGCCGTGGATTTCAGTAGATCCGCCTGTTCTGCCCCCACTCTGTCTCTGGTGAATCCTCTCACATCCCACACCTCTGACCTAGTACTCCAGTTCTTGTATGCATAAATAAATAAATAAAAATTATTAATCTCTTCAAATAAAACTTAAATGATAGCTGTTCAGTTTTAGAGATGTAAAACATAAGGTGGAGAGAGACAGTAAGTGTGCTCGAGACTTTTGATTTCAGGAGATCATTGAGGGCCTGGTGTGAAGCTGACCCTGGCAGAGGTGGGAGCTGCTGTCCTTGTGTATTACTGTTTGACCTTCCAGATGGTCGTAGCTGAGAAACCTGCTGAGGTTTTATAAAGCTGCTTTCTCTTTGGGCTTATGTTGATCAGTGAAAGCTCAGGGAGAGAAGTGCTCGGACTGAAGCGCGAGAGAGCAGGCCTGCTGTGGGGTGTTGGGCCACGTCCCTTAAAATCTAGGGCAAGGTAGTGTTGCGATGCTCGTCTCTCTGGGTGTGACAGGAGGCCTTCGTGTTTTTCTGGGGCTTATGGAGAAAAGGTAGAATAGCTGCTTTAAGAAGTGTTTTAAAGACTTGTTTTTGTGTAGAAGAACTGGGGTGTAAGCCAGAGGTATGGGGGTGAGAGGATTCACCAGAAACAGTGGAGAGAAGAACAGGCAGCTCCATTGAGATCCACTGCTGAGGGGAGCAGCGGGGAGACAGGAGACTCTGCTGCGCCCTGTGGGTAGCTCCCTGGCCGGACATCGAAACCAGGCTGCAGCAGTGATAGTGCTAATAAGACTTAACCCCTAGGCCACCAGGGAGGCCCTAAGAAGTGTTTTAAGATAACAAGGTAACAAAGGTATAGAACTGGCTCGGTTTTAACCCTTCAAGACCCTTGCGGATAAACAGTCGTGATCCTTAAATGTCTGTAGTGGACTGGGGTGCTGTCTCCCTTGTGCAGACGCCCTGGGCGCCCTCAGGGCGGGGTGGGGTCCTCTTCATTTGACAGTCCCACCCTGGCGTGTCTACATGGACAGTGGGGTGGCCTGTGCTCATTTTTCCTTTGCAATGAGAGAAATTTAGGTCTTGAAGTAACAAGTCCAGACATCTGGAGGGTGCCAGAGTGAGATGAGGAGCATGCCCTGTGGTGCCGTCCTTGGGCCCCCGGCACCTGCTGCCTGTGTTGCAAAGGCCGAGGTTGGTGCTCGTCGGGCGTCAGGTAGATCTCTGTGGTTGCGAAGCAGCAAGCTTGGGCACCTTTGCCAGGTGTGCTCAGCAGAGGGGCTGTTATGGACACACTTTACCTCTTGCACTAGGAAGTGCTTCGTTTCAGAATCCTCAGTGCATTTTAGAGACGGCCTTGTGCTTTTGAAGAATCCCTCTGCCGTTGCAGTTTTTAAAATGGGCTTTTCTGTCTACTCTAATTTTTTAATCTTGCTTTTCAGGTCCTACGGCCCTGTTGGCTCATGAAATAGGTTTTGGAAGCAAAGTGACAACACACCCCCTTGCTAAGGACAGAATGCTGAATGGAAGTAAGTCTCGGCTCGGGTCTCAGTGTGCAGGCAGACCTTGTCCCCAGGCTGTGCCTTCTCAGCGTTGGCCGCCGGCGCGATCCGGCGCAGAGGTTGCCTGTGGCGGGCCCTGCTGGCTGTGCAGGCGCTTTCGGGGGCGATGGAGCTGAGCGTGGGACGGCCGGTGTCTGAGTGCATGGCCCGGCCAAGGCCACCGGCTGTCACAGATCCAAAGTGGTTACAAAATGTGGTTTAACTCTATAGTATTTCTAGTAAATACTCGGCCAGCAGCCTGGGGCAGGGTATCTTTTAAACCTTTTCAAGGGTAAATTTTAAACCTTGACAGCAGTTTCAGAAAGTGCCCTTTGCCCACAGTCCAGTGTAAAATGGGCGCAGCTCTTGTCCAGGGAGCGGCTGAGTGGCAGCCCTGTCTGCGCTGGTGACACGTTGCTTTTGTATATGTCAGCTCGACATTTAATTCTTGTTTATATTTCTGTTCCGAGGGAGTGAAGTAAAAAAATAAATGTTTCTCTTCTTTTTATCTCTCCCATCCCTTTTCTGTTTTCAGAGGTAACTTCTGTTAAAGTTATCTCTAGAATTTTCTCTGCACGTGCTCATTATCCTTTGTAGTTTAATATTTTTATTCAGGTGAGAGCTACTAAATACATTGTTCTGCGCCTTTTTTAAAATCGAACATTGTATGTGTGTGTATATATATATATATATATTTTGTGATTTAGCAAATACTTCTTTATTCTATTGTTTGTTGTTTGGAGGCGATAAAGGCAGCGTGACCTTGCCTCTGTCCTTCAGGAGTTAGTGGCCTGCAGACACACAGACATCAGATGTAGAGATACGAGGCTGTCTAATCAGCAGCAAAGCAATATGGCCAAGAGCCTGCCTGCACTGCCACGTAATGCTCTGTGCTCTTCAGCAGCAGCTACTGCTTCTCGGCCTGGTGGTGAGAGCCCTGGTGAGGGGGCGCGTTTGTCAGCTGAGGGAGGGTGCGGGAGGACCCCACCTCTCCCCCTGAGCACGTGCAGCAGGGAGAGACCCGGGACTTTCCAGGAGGAAAACTCACTCATATCCTATCAGGGAAAATCACATCAGGTCACTGAAGAGAACTAGGAATTGCCAGTTAGAGGCCAGAGAGGAGTTGCAGCCGGTGCTCAGTCGGTGAGGAAGCAGCAGCCATCTCAGTGTAAACCCTCAACCCCCCGGGTACCGGTAAATAGACAAAACCAGAAAACAAGAGATCCAAAAGCGATTGACAGACACTTGGTGTTTTCTCTCATCTTTGTCCTGCTCTGGCTCATTCTGAACCTGAACACCAAGCAGGGCAGCAAGTGTCCACTGTGTCCTTTCTGCCCTTGGGTCTGCCCCTCTGTGCAGCGCTGCCCAGCCAGCCTGGGGCGGCCCGGGGAGGGCGCCGGGCGGGGTGTGCAGGTGGCTTTCCTTGTTAAAATGGTGTTTTCCTCTTACAAACCGTTGCACGCGCGCATATCTGGATTCCTTTTTTAGTATTTTTTAAAATAAATACAATTTTTCATGACATTGTATTTTAAAAAATCAACAGACTTAATTCTTAGAGCAGTTTCAGTTTACAACTAAATTAGTCACTGGAAGATACGAAGTTGTCAACAAAACTGTCTGGGTGGAAATGTTTTTTTTTTCCTTTGAGCGGAGTCCAGCTTGCTCCCGGGCACGTTGAAAGGCAGGGAACTTAATTTACTTTGAGCACATGGTGAGATTTTAGAGGTTTTGAAGGAACTGGAAAGAACAGAATCGGCTTTCCCCTCTGCAGCTACCTGGCGCAGTTCTGCTCGAGATCCTTCAGCGTCTGAAGTGCCTGTGTCGTTGCTGTCTTCTTGCAATGCCTCGGCCAGGTTGAGGTTGCTCAGGAAACGTGAAAGAGCAGATGCCCTCAGGAACCAGCTCACAGTGTGTTCACAAGCCTCGTAGGGCCGAGACAGGCTCAGGAGGCCAGGCCATTGCTAGGCCCAGGCAGCCGGGTCCTCTGCCTGCGGGGCTCGGCCAGGCTCGCGCACGTGTTTGTCACTAGGTGTCATGCGTCGCCAGCCAGTCCTATCTAGAAGAAAACAAGTTTGAAAGTTCTGTTCCACCAGGATCCTGAGAAGGGGCCGTGATGGCTTCCTGGGGTCTCCCCGCCCAGGCGCTCCTGCGTGTGTACCAGAGATAGCATGAGGGTTACTCAGGGGGTGCAGTCTGGGGTGCAGGTTTTCATTTCTCAGGGTTTTTTTTCTCAGTGCTCATTTGCGGGTTGCTTCCGTGACCCTGGAATGCCTGCAGGTCACACAGGTGAGCCGTAGGGGAGTGGACTGCGTGGTGCGGCTGTCCTCAGGCACCCCCACTCACTGCTGCTAGCCAGGTTCCCCACAGCTCAGTTCCCTCCCCTGTCCCCCAAGGATCTCAGTAGCACCCCTGGCAGGCTGGTGGACAGGCTCGGTGAGTTCGTCCACGTCCCACACCATGAATGCAGCCTGGCCCCGAGCCCAGGCCGGAGGAAGGTGAGCTGCTGAGCGTCCCGCACTCGCGGGGGCCAGCCAGGCCCAGGCTGCCCTAACCACAGCCGTGAGGCGGTGCCTTGGTCTAGTTGGATCTCTCCAGTGGGCTGGCGGGTGGGTGCCGCCCCTCTCTGCATGAAAGTGAGGCTCAGATTGAGAGGCTGCTGAGTAGCAGACCTGGGGTTCGAACTTGAGCAGTGGGCTCTCTGCCAGGAAAACGGCCTCAGGGTGCTGGCCCCTTGGGCACATCTCCCCCCTTGCTTTTCCTTCCCGGCTTCCAGGATTTTGCTTCAAGTTAAAAAGCCCTCCCGCCCGCGCGGCCCTGGTCCCGTGCGTCAGCAGGGGGAGCCTGCGTGCCCCCCAGGCCGGCTTGTGTCTGCTCGCCGGTGCCACCAGGCGGCGGTGGCCCATCGCGCAGCGCCTCTGCTCTTGGCCTTGGCAGGGGAAAGAACCAGGGAACCTGGAAACATCCCTAACCTGTTTCAGCTGTTTGCGGTATTTTACCCACAAAGATGGCGAAGTGGGCCGCTTGGCACCGCCTCCGCGCCGGCAGCTGCTGCTCGCGGCCAGCCAGCCGGGTCTCTCGCTGAGCAGGAACATGACCTTGGCTGTGCAGGCCTCCCCCACGGCCCAGACACCCCCTGCCCCTGGACAGCAGTGCCGCTTGGAAGTGCTCGGTGCTTCATTCAGTCACCCCGCCGGGGACCTGAGCTCTGCTGGAGACGGAGACCCGAGTCACCGCTGTCATGAGTCGCGTTGGGAGCACGCGAGGGGCCTGTGCCGCTGGTCCGCGCGGCGGTGGTCGTGGAGGGGCTTCTGTTCTGTCCCGAGCAGCCGTTTCCCCAGGCTCCGGGAGCAGAGAACAGGGAGGTCTGTTGGGTGGGGGGGTGCTTCTCTGAAGGCGAATAGAGGGAAGACGCTGCTGCTTACATTTGCAAAAGCCTCGCTGGGTGGAGCTGTCCCTGACAGGAAAGTGACTCCTTCCTGCCCGGAGGCCTCTGCCTCCTCCCCTCGGGCTGTGCTGCCTGGCCTGGGGCGCTTAGTGGCCCCACTCTGCCACAGTGGGTGGGCTCTCCTTCAGTGCCCTTCACGCCCCGCCCTTCCCCCTGCGCTGGGAGCACAGGGAAGAGAAGTTCCCGCACCCTTCTGAGTTCCTGGCTGAGGTCCCTGCGGCATCATTTTGACAGAATGAGAGAGAAAGCAAAAGAAGTTTATTAACGTGTCCACGTCACGTACACACGGAGAGCCCCAGGGTCAGCGAGTGTCGAGGCGCAGGCTCTGAGCCCCATTTAACCCGGCCAGGGGTGAAGACTCGGGGGAGAGGGATGTCCTCGGGAAGGACGGGAGGAGCGATGGGGGGTGACGCGGTGTCTGGGTGCGGCGGCCGCTTCTGGGCTGCCCTCCCGTGACCCCAGGCCGCCCTCGGTTGGCGAAGCGAGTCCCTGTCGAAGACCCGTCCCCGGGCAGGTCAGGGGAGTCCAGGAGGACCCCCGTGTGCTGGCCGCTTCTCCCACCCGAGCTCAGTCATGTGTGTCTGGGGTGCCTGTTCTGACACTGGAGCAGGAACCTGCTGTCGTGGAAACGCCAGCGGCCATCACCCGACACTCAGGTAGTTTCTTCCATAGCAACCGTTTCTTCCTCCTGCGCCCAGCAGCGTCTAGTATTGTCGCTTCCGAGCTGTCCCCGAGGAGCTTGGCCTGGTGCGTGGTTGCGAAGCGCTGGCTGCGGTGTTGTGCGGTGACGCGGCGACAGCTGTGGAGCCACTGTGCAGCCGCCTGGCGTGGCCCAGCAGGGTGTCACCCTTTGTATTTTTCTTTGAAGGTCATTACAGCTACTCGGAGAATCGCGTGGAGAAGGACGGCCTGATCCTCACCAGCCGTGGGCCCGGGACCAGCTTCGAGTTCGCGCTGGCCATCGTCGAGGCGCTGAGCGGCAAGGAGGTGGCCGCGCAGGTCAAGGCGCCGCTTGTCCTGAGGGATTAGCGCCGATGGTCCTGTCAGGAGAGGCTGCCAGGCCCTCGCGTGGCCGTGCCCCCGGCGTGGCGGAGGGTGTGCCTCGGGGAGGTGTCTGCCCAGCCACGCCGCATCCTCCCACACGCGTGTCCCCACATTTCTGAGCCTGACTGCAGAATAAACAGGCCACTTAGCAAACTGCCGCCCGTTCTTGCGTGAAAGCAGGTCCCTCGTCAGCTTCCCTGGCGCCTGAGCGGCCGAAGTAGTTGCCGAAGCCCAGCGCAGCGGACGCGTCCTACGCGCAAGGGCGAGATCAGGAGCCGAGGCGGGGGCTGTGGTTGCTCGGCGCGCGTTACCTGTGTCTTTCACGTGCTATTAAACACTAGTGAAGCGGCTGCCGTGGTGAATTCTGTCAACCAGCTCCTCGCTGCACACAGGGCTCAGGGAATCAAACTTTCCAAGGCTGGCGAAGCCTCTGCTCCCCCCAGGCGACCAGCCAGCTGTCCCCCCACTGCTGTGGGGGGTTGGGGGTGTGTGGTGGGGGTAGCCATTGGCCTCATACCTGTGACCGTGGGACCCAGGGGGGACCCTCGGCCAGTGAGACTCACTCTGGGCCCCGTCACGCCTCCTGCTGTCCTGTGCTGGGCACCCGGGAGTTGAGGGGGAGACCTGGCGCTGCCGGCAGCCACGTCGGCACCAAGAGAGGCGCCCACACAGAGGTCGCTGAGAACGTACCTGACCGTAACCCGCCGCACCTGAGCGCCTCTGGCTTGTTCGTGGCCAGCGGCTGCCCTCGGCTGTGGGCTCACGAAGCCACCGTAGGGAACCGGGCAGAGTGGGGCGCTCACCTGGGGCTGCAGTTGGCGGACCCCTGGACAGTGGGGGGGGTGACGTGGTGTCTGGGTGCGGCAGCCACTTCTGGGCTGCCCTCCCGTGGCCACAGGCCGCCCCTGGTCGCTAAGGAAGGCGGAAGCTAATTCAAAACGTGGAAACAAGTCGCACGTTGCAGCACGTTGCGGCCCTGGCGGGCACGGAGTGCTGAGAGACCGGCCGGGGGCGTGGGGCATGGCGGGGCGGGGGAGCTGGAGGCTGCTCTGGACGCGACAGTGAGGCTGAGTCCTGAGGTAAGACCAGGGGGCTTTGCGTAGGGGCGGGGTTTGGGTCCGCTGTCTCCCTGCGGGGTGCCGGGCTGCGCCCCGAGGACACGGGAACTGCACCGGCTGTGTTCTCCGAAGGACATGTGGTGAGGCCGCGTGGGGGACGGGCGGCTAGGGGGTTAAAGTCTGAAAAGGGAGCTCAGGGAAATCCCGATTTGGGGGGCCATGTTAGCCGCAGCCTGCACTTGTCAATAAGCTCCCCGAGGCTGCGGGGTTGCGGCAGGAGGGCGCTCCTGAAGGAGACGGGCTCTGCTTTGTGCCCTCGGGATGTCCAAAAGTGATTCAACAAAATGAAAGCTTTTCTGAGGTGTTGACGAGAGCCCCGGGGTGCTGGCCAGGAGGTGGGGGCTGGAGCACCCACTTCATGTAAAGCGAGTCTTTTCTGGCTGGAGACGTGCCCATCACATTGAGCAGCTGCCCCCCCCACTCCCCGCGCCTTTCTAAGCTCAGCAAACCTTTCTTTGGGGCTGGAAGGGGGGCGAGCAGGGCCTGGGAGCTGGAAGGGGCGTCTCTGTGTGGCGAGACCTGGAGTGGGGGATCCAGTGCACGCCCACCCAGCTTGGCTGGGTCCCCCCAAGCCTCGCATCCTCGGGAGTCAGTCGCAGGGACTCCTGCAAACCCCTCCCTCTCTCCTCCCAGCGGCTGGCTTCGCCCAGGGCCGCGCAGGGAGCTGGGGGAAGTGGGGTCTGGGGGAAGTGGGGTCTGGAATTGAGTCTCCTGCCGAGCTCAGCCCCCTGAGCCAGAAGCGGAGCTCTCCTCAGCCTGCAGAGGCTCGGCGGCCCTTGGCCCTCCCCCGGACGGGAGGTGGCCCGGCTGCCCTTCCTGGGGACACCTGGTCCGAGCGGGGGGGGGGGGGGCGGGGGGGGGCGGACGTTCAGTAACCCGAGGGGAGGCTCCGCAGCTGGCTGGGATGCTGTCGTGAAAGCCGAAGGCAAAGGCCGCCAGCAGTTGCTTCGGGTGCGGGTTCCTGCCGCAGGAAGGGGCTGGGCCCGGGGGCGCCCGCGGGGGCCCGGCACTGAGGGGTAAGGGCCTTCACACTCCACCTGGGGGTTGCTGTGTCCCTCACCGGCCCCTTGTCCCGCGTCCCTCTGGGAGCTGTTCCCCCACCGGCACCTGGGGATTTCCGGCGTCACTCAACACCCCGACCACCCTCCGACGTGGCCGGTGACGTCTGGAAGCCTGAAACTGGTCGCTTTAGCGGTCCGGAAGGGTCAGGCTGCAGTGGAGGGGAGGGCACCCTTGCACCGCCGCTCGGAACACCAGGTACGGTTGCAGAGTAGCCAGCCGTGCCCTCGCAGACGCTGGCTGTTTTCGGAATTTTCCAGGGCGACTGTCCGCTAAGGAATGAGGAGGACATTACGTTTTCCTGCAGAATCTTCTGGTTGTTTTGACCTTTGCCCTTAGTGAGGGGACATGGGCAGCCCGCATGGGGTGGGGGCAGGACGGCTCCCACACCTGCCTGGTCTCAGCTGCAGCGTCTGCTCCCACGCGTGGCCTCCGTCAGGAGGGGTCCAGCGAGGGCCCCGGGAAGTCTTGTTTGCATCGGGCCGCAAACACCCTGCTCGCTCCCGGCCCGGGTGTCTCCTGGAGCTGCCCTTTGCCCCAGGCCCCAGCTCCTGCCTGGAGGCTCCGTGACCAGGGCTCCTGTGAGAGGAAGCGCTGAGGAAAGAGTCACCATCATCACGGTCAGCATCGCCGTCACCACCTCACCACCGTCACCCTCGTTGCCATCGGCAGCAGCTCCACCTGCATCGCCGCCATCACTGCACGTGTGCAGCCCGCGGGGGCCGCCCGAGGTTGCCCGCCAAGCCTGGCCCCGCTGCTGCCCGTTGTCAGATCAGAGAGACGAGCAACTCCCCGCGGCCCAGCCACTCGAGTCGGCGGCCTCTTTGGCCTTCCCGGCCCTGATCGTTCTCGCTTCCTCTTAAACACAGCATGGGGCAAGTGACAAAATGTCAGGCTTCTCTGCCCTCCCGCCATCAGGATGGATGACGGATCCTGCCGTCCCGAACGCCCGCCTGAGGGCGGCACCTGGAGCGGGGCGTGGGCCTAGGTGGATGGGATTCACCTGGGCTGAGACGGGGCCTGTAAGGCGGCGTCACGGGGCCCCAGAAGAAGCCGAGAACGCGAGAGAACGCGAGAGAAGGCCGGAGAGCCCAGAGTGAAGCCTTGCTGGGGGCTGGGGGGCCTGCCAGCCTCCCAGCCTGCTGCACCCCTGCCTGCCGCTTGCCTGGTCAACCCCAATAAAAGCCTGAGAAGCCTGGAGGGCGCCAGGACTCGCTCCTCCTTCACCCGCCTGCTCAGGTCACCGAGAAACCTGCCCGGGGTCATTCCTGCCGCTACACACTGTATTTTCTTGTTAGAAGTCAACCTACTTTTGGAGATTTTTACTTGGTTTCAGAATCACGTTCAAATGGAAAGTTCGCGGCCTTAAAAAGCAGCAGAAAAGAGAGAACTCGAGGCTGATGGAGGCGCCACGGCAGGGAGAGGAGCTGGCGGCGCCGCCTGCAAGAGGAGATACCCCGGACAGCGGCCTCCTGGGGTCCACCTCCGCCTGAGGGGTTTTTCAAAGCCAGGCCACGGTAAGAACGCCCTGGAGGTGTGCTGGGTCGGGTTTCTGCTTTCAGAGGGGGAGTAATATTTCAGAGGGTGCAAGAAAGTCGGGGCTTTGTTTTTAAACCCAAATGGAATGCGGCTGGTGTGGGTCCCGGGGTTTGTCCGCTCTGCTGGGCCCAACCAAATCAGGGTGGCGGCTGGGCCCTGCACCTTGAGCCCCAGGGGCCGGGGAGCGTGGTTTTGAGCCCCAGGGGCCGGGGAGCGTGGTTTGTTCCACGAAAAGCCAAATTCCCTTCATGTTGCTGAGTGACCTGCCCTGGGACAGGGCAGCCCTAGTCCAGGTGACTTGCCAGGTGAGAAGCAGGTAAAAGATGGTGACCCCTAAGCCAACAGTCACCCCCTTGCGCCTGGGATCATCCCCTCAGATTCAGCCTAAAACAGCCAGTTGGTGCAAGAGCAAGAGCCCCTCAGCAAGCGTGATTAATTCCGCTTCCGCTGCCGTCCATACCTGGCACGGCGCGCGTTACCTCCTTAGCACTTTTTTAAAAAACTTAATTCAGGCCTCTCTGGTGGCGAAGGGTTAAAACGCAACCTATGTAGCAATCCGCAGCCTCTGCAGCACGAGTTCGATTCCTGGCCAGCCAGGGAGCAACCCACATGGTGCAGCAGACCTCTCCTGACTCGCCCGCTGCTCCCCTCAGCAGTGTACTTAGTTCAATCTGCCTGTTTTATTCCCCACTCTGTCTCTGGTGAATCCTCTCACCCCCCCCCACACACCTCTGGCTTGTACCCCAGCTCTTGTATGCACAAATAAATATATAAATAAATCTTTTTAAAAAATTTAATTCGCAAAGACTGTGCTGGTGCCTGCTTGTTGGAGAAGACCCAGTAATACACGAGGACATGGGCAAGACTAGAAGCTTCTCATTCTTGCCTCCCTCTCCCATGCCCTCCCTGCTGTCCCCCAAAGCCCCATGTTGGGGTCCCTTGGCCAGCTGTCTCCTGGGAGCATACAGTCACCCACATGCGCACATGCTACATTGTGCGGTGCATACACACGTGGGTACATTCTGTATTTATTGTTTTAAAGATTTTATCTATGCATACAAGAACAGGCACAGGCCAGAGATGCAGGGGTGAGAGGATTCACCAGAGACAGAGTGGGGAGCAGAACAGGCAGACTGACTGAAATACACTGCTGAGGGGAGCAGTGGGTGAGACACGAGAGGTCTGCTGGGCCGTGTAAGTAGCTCCCTGGCCGGGGATCAAACTGAGGCCACAGTGGTGACAGCGCTGAGACTCAACTCCTAGGCCATCAGAGAGGCCACTAGTTACTCAATATTTTAAAAAATGTTTTAGGGGACAGGTTGCACCCGTGCACCTCTTTGTGCAAGTGTGGATATTTTGAGAGAACTTCTTGAATCAAAGCTCACACTCCAGTTTTGATGGCCATGGCCAGTTGCTCTCCCACTGGCCTGTCCACTCTCCAACCCCCTCCTTGCGTATCAATATTGATCATTATCCATCTTTTTTTTTAAATTAATTTATACAAGCACTGGGTACAGTCAGAAGTGCGGGAGGGTGAGAGAATTCACCAGAGCCAGAGCGGGGAGCAGAGCAGGCAGAAGGACCGAAGTCCACTGCTGAGGGGAGCAGCGGGCGGCAGGAGAGGTCTGCGCGCCATGGGGACCCTCGTGGCCGGGGAGCAGCCGG